GGCCCGCGGCGCGTCAGGTCCGAGACCATCGCTTTCACGCACGCGTCGCCGCGCGGCGCGCGGACGCTGTTCCCCGCCTTGAGGAGTTTGGACTCCGCGGCCATGGTCTCGGCCTTCTCGACGAGGTCCGCGAGCTTCCGCAGCGTCGCCGGCGACAGGTCGCCGCCGAGCACCTGCGCCTTCAGGGCCTCCATGTGATGCGGTTTACGCGGCGCTCGTCGTAATTTTTTTCGCGTTGTGTTTCGGCTGGGGCTCGACGCGACGGCTGCGGCGCTGCGAACGAGAGCTCGCGCTGCTGCGGCGCCTGCGCGCGCTCGTAGCGACAGCGAAGTCGACACCCTCTTGTGGCAAGAGGCGGAGCTCCGCGGAGCTCGCTGCGCCTGCGCCGCAGAGGGGGCGGGGGTCGTGTGGCTCATGATCAGCCTGGCGTGCAAGCGCATGCTCGAGCCGCACCGCCGACGCGGAGACCTGATCAAAGAGTTCTTCGTCGACGAGTGTGCGCTGGGCGTGGATTCCCCCCGCGGTGGCCACGAAAGGAGGCTGCTCACGTTCTGCGCGCACCCGGGCCCGCGCGTCGTCGCCGTAGCGCGCGAGACGTCGCCGCGCGTGCTTCTGGATGACGCCGGCGGCGAAGTCAACCGCCAGCGCGTGCTCCAGTAGCCGTGCCATCGGGCCGATCCGTCTTTTGCCGTTTTCGGGGACCGCCCATGCCGATTCGGCATGCTGCTTGAATCACTGGCAAAAGCTACCCCGACGACGACTCGGAGAAAAAGTTCATCGCCGCTCTCACGGCGATCATCAAGACGCTCAGCTGGAACGACGCCAAGACCATGTACGACGAGGCCAAGGCCGCCCAGAAACCGCCTTCGCCGCCACCGGCCTTTGCGGCCGCACCTCCGCCCGCGGACGCACGCGGCGGGCTTCAAGTTCTGGGCTACTCGACGCAGCGCATCAAGTTCTTCCGCGACAACTTCGCGGACTTCACCGCGCAGGAGTTCCAGTGCCAGGTGCAGGAGCACGTGAACAAGCTCGTGAAGCACGAGATCATCCCGTTCATCCGGAAGTTCCACGAGCCCGGGAGGAACAGCGTCTTCCACGCAATAAACATGGAATCATGTCCTCCACTGCCTTTATGAGCGAAGTGTAATCACTATGAGCAAGTTTATCTTCAAATGAGAGGATTTTATGTCCCAACTTGAGCGTTCTTTTAGGCGTTCTTTTGCAATCCCGGTGCAGGACTTCGAGGTGCTGGCCGGCCACCGAGGGCCGAGGCGGCGCGGCAAGAAACAGCTCATTCAGCGACAGCATGCGCGCATCGCGGCTGGTCCTCGGCCGCGCCGTGCGGCAGCGCGCCGTCGCCGCGCGGCGGCCGCAGGTGCCGCGCGCGCCCGTGCGCCTGCTGTCGGCGAAGGCGCCGGAGGAGGAGAAGGCCGCGGCCGAGAAGGAGCCGAGCACCGAGGAGCCCAAGGACGAGGCCGCGGAGTCGTCGCCGTCCATCGGGAAGCGCCTCATCGACGGCTGGGAGGCGCTGTCGGCGCGGGCGCGCACGCTCGACGCGAAGGAGGTCGCGCGCATCGCCCAGGGCGAGCTCCGCCAGGCCTACGCGGAGCTCACGGGCGCGGACCGCGGCAGCGTGCTGAAGACGTCCGTCACGTTCCACGACGACGCCGCGGCGCCCGCCGCCGACGGCGCCGAGGAGGTCGACGAGCGCGAGAAGCAGCTCCTGGTCATCGACGCGCGCGACAACTGGGAGAAGCTCCGCGCGCGGCTCAAGGAGGCGCCGATCATTTCCGACATCCTCAAGGGCGCGGGCAAGGCGCGCGACGCGGCCGCGGCGACGGCGGCGGGCCGCGCGGCGGCGGCGGGGCGGGACCGCGTGAACGACAAGATCGAGGACGCGCGCGAGTTCTGGGAGACGAGCCAGAACCCGCTCGTCTACCAGGCGTCGTCGATCGTCGACGCCGTGACGGCGGAGACGGACATGGCCGCGGCGACGCGGGAGCTGCGGCGGCTGGACCCCCGGTTCTCCATGGAGGTCTGGCGCGA